AACAAACCTCACTGTGTCTGCTGACAGCAGGAGCAACGGCAAGCGAGACTTGGGCACGTAAATATTCAAGGAACAGCAGAGAGAAAGGCAGGCAGAAAGATCCAACATTTCCCTCTCCTTGTTACAGCTACAAAAGCCATGAGGGCATCCAGGTGTTACAAAATACAGCCAGTCTCCCTCTTCCTTCCAGATCCTGCTGGTTCTCCAGCTCACTTTGTTCTGGTTTTCTTTTAACCTGATCCGTTTGTGAATCACAAGCGAGGTTTCACAGCTCTGCACTGTTTAAAGCAGTATAGACTCAGGTTTACCTTGAAAACAACCAAGTGGAGCTGTAGGAATCCATCCAGCTGCTGCCAGGCAAGCCACCAGCCTGAATCTGAACATGTGCATCCTGGAGGAATCCACAGATCCCTGAGAGTGGCACTGCATCATCTTCACCCAGTGACAGCCAGTGGCGGGGACAGCTGCAGCTCCAGCATCGCAGGTGGCCCTTGGCTCTCGTGGCTCCAAGGCAAGGAATTTCCAGACCATGGAAATTCCTGAAATCCCAGCAGAGGGGTGGCTGGGCAGGCTCTGAGGGAGACAACACTGCCATGAAGTTTTTCGCTGGCTCCATTCAAGTATAGAGGTGATGAAGACGCAGCCGCCTCCTCCTCTCCCTGCAGCTCTTAGGCTTTGCCCCCCACGGTGGCTCTGGCGCCTTTGTCCGGTCACAGGTTGAGGACAGGGACTGTAAACTCTTCAAGGCAAGGACTGTTCCTCTGCTCAGTCCTCAGCATGCCAAGCAAGCGCTTTTCACGTCTGTAGAACAACCACTACCTTTCCTGTTTCTTCTCATTCTTGGCACAAAGGCACCTGAATCGCTTCCAACTGAGGTTAAAAGCATTCAAGCGTCTGTTTGCACATGGGGTTTTCTAAAGCAACCTCTATTTGTAACACACACTTCCCCCAGCATACCTAAAAGTATCCGAATGCTTTTTCATTTAGGAACTGCCCTCCTATTCTCAGGAAAAAGATTCTGTCCCCTTGGCATTTTATCCATTGCTTTGTTTTTGAATTTGGGCTTCATATTTGAACAGTTACATCACACATCTCCCATCTCGGGTGGTGGAGGGGAAACTCAAACTAGAAAGAGCACAGTAATTCACAGCACCTTGTTTCCTAGGCAGAGGACCAAAACACTGCTTGCAAAATATCAGTATTTTTATGTAACAAATATACAATTAGACTCTCAATTACATTTTATTAAATTTACTCCTGGGACTCTGTTAGCGAAGGAACTCCCAAGGGCTCTCACTAAATCCTCTGCACTAAGCTTCGTCCCTCCTGCAGCTACACAAAGGGGAAAAATTATTATTTCTAGGGACCAGAAACCCAAATTCTGCAGACACATCTGCCACAAAGTGTCCCCAAGTCCTGAGTCCCAGGGAACAAACTGGATTTACTCACTTGCCTGAGGTTCTCCACAGGCACAACCCTGTGTTTGCAGAAGTGGGTGCTCGAGCAGTGGCTCAGGAACGAGCCGTACATGCTGAGGAGCTGCTCCAACAACAGGACTCTCCACTTTTTCTGAATACTGGCATCTCCCAAAAAAGAGAGCTTTCAGATATAATTAAATTTTACTATTTTATTTGTGAAAAAACTACAAGCAGAATTCATAAATAGACATTTCTATTTAAAGCAGGAAAATGATAAAGTGGCTTCTAATAACAGTCGTGCACATGCCAGTAACAGGAATATATTAACATCTTTTATTTGCTAGACAAAGAGCAGTGTCCAATATAAATTTCCCAAAAACATTTAAGACCTGTGAATTTCTGACCAGTTCACAAAACCACCATTGACACTTTAGCATGAAGATTAAAACAAACCTAACAGGACTGTCAGCTCTAAAGACTTTACAGAGCGGAAAAACTTTCAGAAGCGTTATACAAGCTGTCTTTCTGGGCAAATGAAAAATAGAGCTCGTATAATACATTAACATAAAAATCCACAAGATAAGATTATGTTTTGACATACTTAAACAAGCATTCTATATTTGTCTCCAACAAACAAAGCTAAGGAAATAATGTAACCATCTTTACACAGTAAATTAAGGTTACAAGTCATACACAAGAACAGAACTGCTTGCGCATTAAAAACTGTTCAGCTCCATTGTCATACTCTAAATGTTGGCTCTTAAAACCATTCGGTTACATACAAGCAAAGGTTATTATACTGTCAGCAATTAATAAATTTTCAATAATTTAAGTTTATGGTAGAGCTTAAAAAAGTAGACTGAGAATGATCTTGGTAAGGCAGGTGAAAACATCTCAGTGGAAATAAACTCACAGAAGCTGCTGCCAAATTTTGGATCTGTCCAATTTGAAGCAAAGTTCCAATTGAAATAAATAGCCTGGTGGTGTAAAACGCTGTCACCTTTCCTTTGCAGAACTACGTCAACTGAGCGAGTCAGGCAAGCTGTGTCGGTGTCTGTGTGTGTGTGTGTCTGTGTAAGAGTCGAAACTTCGCCATCGTAACACTGTGCTTCACTTACCTGCGTTCTGTGCCACTGAACACCGTGAATCTGGTCCTTCCCTACACTAGTGTTTGCTTGGTTTGCTTCTGGAACACCTTCCCCACCAAGGGCGGGCTGGCGCACGGCCACGGCGCGGAGGGAACCCCACCTGCGGTGCCGCAGGAATGCCAACTTCTGAAATCGAGTGTGAAAGCAAACGCTGTCCTTCAAAACCACAACACAACAGCTACGGGTGAGGCTGGGGGGTTCAATGCTTAGCTAGCACTTCCTAACTGATTGCAGAGTTACAGGTCACTCGTTCCAAAGAAATTTTCCCATCTGTTTATAGCAAGCTACTTCATCAAGGAGGCACGCCAAAGGGACAGATGTTACCAACTTTACCATGAGTAGCTGGGGACGGTGTTAAAGCTTTTTAACTGATCTACAGGTCTAGTTTCACTTGAAAAAGAAGCAATTTCCTGGTACACACAATGCTATTTTTTTTTTTTCTTTTTTTTTTTTGCACAAATTCCCAGATCCAACAAAGAAGGTGAGCACGTGGTTTGACTTGAAGCACCAGAACGAGCCCTGCTGAGGCCAGCGGGACCTGCCACTCGCTCACGCTCTTGGCTGGATCGCGGCCGAGATGCAAGCAAGCCTAATTGATAATGGATCATTTATAAAGCAGTGCAAAATATACAAGTTCAGGGGCATCTTCAAAAATTCTCTCTTAAAAAATTATTCCAATACATTTCAGTAAAATAAATAAATATGGCTGACCAGTTTACCCTCCCTGAGACCCTTAAAGGAATAGTAAAAACTGGAAAAGGAATGTCTTTGCAATATCCCACTAATGTTAAAATGTGGATTGAGATATTCATAGTATTTAAAACTATGTATAATAAATTGTCGTGATGCTCATAGGAAGCATCTGTTTTCCTTTGGTTCTTTAATACTTTTAAAAATGCTTACAAAAGACAGCCTATACTGTGAATATAAGCAGAATCAAGTTGGGGTGCCCGTGTTAACATATTCAGAACAAAACCACTGCTGCCAAGGCACTGCCACTGCACATGCCTTCAAGCAGGGGCTCTACCAGATCCCTTACTCACACATTTCTGTCGCCAGTGTGAAAGGAACCTACGTCTGCTACTCAAAACCACACAGATTTTAAAAGAAATCTTAAATTGGTTGCCTCCACAAAGAGAAATTTCTCTTGCCAAGCAAATAATTCACAATATAACAAGCAGGCACAAAGTTGTCGAAATGTGGCCCTCTTTCATCATGCCCAAAAGTTATGCATTTGATGTCAGATGAAGCCACAGCCTCTGTGCCTGAAATTACTGCAAAGCACCCTGGGGCCACTAAATAAAGATGAAAAGCCAAAGAGGACTGGGGTATGTTTTGCTTTTTAAAAAAAAATTTTGTTTCACCTCTTCAGCCGAGTGTTTTAGCAGGATAATGCATGGAAGGTAAACTGTAAAGCAACACTAACAGGCCAGGAAAAGAAATTATAGTCTGAATAGCTTTAGAGTAAGAAAGAAGGAGATGCTGGTCATGAGCATATGAGCCACACATCGCTCACTTGCCAGCATGAAAACTTTTCCCTATTTTTGCTCCCACAGCAGGAGACTCCGAAGTGTCCAAACACTGACAAGCCCATCACTGGACAAAATGCTGTTCAGAGATCACTCTAGGGATACAGATGGACTACAAGGACAAGAGCCATCCCAACAGCATGGATAGGATAGATGGAACAGGGCTGACAAGCACCGACCCACACGCAGCCGGAGCGAGCACCAGCTCGGTTCCTGAACTCGGGATTGCTCCCAGGCTCCCTGCTGCAACCCACAGCACCACTCCAGCTCTCGTTACCTCAGGCACTGAGGCTGCTGGAATTCATCAACAACACCAAGACGTGTGGGACTGGCTGTGCATGGCGCAGCCGTGCTCACGGTACCAAGCGCACGGACCCGTGGGGTAACACCAGCAGTGTGGCTGGGAATGCTTCTGCTCCAGCTGGGCATGGACCTGCACATCAGCAACCTGAGCCACCCTAGGGAAACACCAGCTACCTGGAGCAACCCTCTCTATCTCAGATCCCAAGCTGTAACGATCAAACCCGTGTCCAGTACACTTTAGCCATTGCTTAGGGAAGAAACGGGGAAGGAACAATAGAGAGAACAGGTCCCATCCAGGCTCAAACCTTCAGGAACACTTTTCACCTAAGACCAGTTCCATTTCAGTTTCAGTACTTTCACAGAAGGGGACTGTCCCAGATCTTGAACTGTTCAATTATTTTGTTTTATCACTTCACAGTGTTTCAAGCACCAGCGTTTCCATGTATTGGTTTCAAATAACCCTTTATATATATTTATTTATATATATATTTATATATAATTTATATCAAAACTGATAGTACACAGTATAACTGGAAGAAGAACTGAACTTAAAAAGGATATGTTGAAAGAGGATGGAGTTTGTGAATGCAATAAATAAAGCCCCCTTCCCACCCCACCCGCTCCCTACCCCAAAACAAAAAGTTGTCATGTTCATGGAAAATTGTGCACAGCAGATATTATAAAAAAGTAGATTCAGGAGCACATCCAATTATAAATGATTGTTAGGAAAATCATATAAAACAATGGAATACATAAAAGTGTCAAGAGTAATCGCTAGGGTGAGAAATTCCTTGGTGGCCAGATGCCCACGGCAAGCAGAAGTTATCCTGGTTGCATCAGTAAGAGGTCGATGTCCGAGAAAGTGTGTTCAAGCACAGAAGAGGCTCTCCAGGATTTGAACAGCGTGGGCAGGTGGAGTGTTTGAATTTCATACCCTGATTCATAGTTTCCACAACTCCATGTGCAATTTTTCAGAAAGATTCGTCGTTGACTGCTGACATGTCTCCCTTGGGTGTGGAGGAACGGGACGAGCCCTTGTCTGTGCTCTCAGAGCCCGAGCTGCTCTGATTCTGTTGTTCTGATCCTGCACTGGAGGTCACTGTAGAAGATGATGTGGATGAAGAGCGAGTCTTTTCTTTAAAGTCTGTGATAATTACTGTGACATTTCCCACTGTGACTGCCAGCTGCTGTGCGGTACTTCTGTCCACATTTTTCAGTCTGGGTCTAAAATGAATGAGAAAACATTTATTAAAAGGATAAAAATAAGGGAGAAAGGGAAAGTTTATTAGGAAAAGCATTTGAAAACAAACTCTGTGTGACTCGTGTTCCCTCGCCTGTGCAGATGGCAGTGGCTGGGAGGAGAACCCGGGCAGGCAGAGCTGCAGAGCACAGGATGAAGGTGTGACCTGCTGCCTGTGCCAGGCAGGCTCCCTGTGCCTCTGAGGGCTGTGGAGCACACTCAGCCCCAGAGAACAGCCTGTCTCACAGAGCTCTGCACAGGGAGTCCCTTGCAGGCTTCTCCCTATCCAATCCTGCCAGAAAGGAGGACGGCACAGCAGAGCCAAGCGGACAGGAGCCAGACAGAGCGAAGGATCTACTCCCCAAGGGGCAGATGAAAGAGTTCTCTTATCTAAATTCACCATCTCATCATGTGCCCTGATGTTATGAGACAAGGCTGTGACTCTGCAATACAAAACCACATGAAAGCATTCGGCCACGGCTCTTTCATTCCCATGTTGGAACTCTGCAGCTGCAAACAACACAGGCACTGGGACAACTTGGCTTCTCTTTCAGCTGCTTTCAGCTTATACAAATCAGATGCCCAATCAGCCTATGGATAAAATAGCTCAAAATGTTCCCTCTGGAATCAAAGCTATTGTAAATAAAATCCAGAATGTACAACGGTATTTTTTGCAGCCAGAGCTTTTGGTTAAGGGAAAAAGAAAAAGGGGGGAAAAAAAAATACAAACCACCTGAAAAGAACCCACTGGTATTTATTGCTCAGGATTATCTTGGTAATTTGCATGCTGTGCTATCATTCAATTAGTAATGTAGCTAATAAGGGTCGAAGCCCTAGGAAGCTGACATTCAAGCACATTTCATGGGCTGGTCCAAAGCTCCGCTTCAACAAGCCTTGGACACTCCTCCAGCTACCAGCAAATTCCAAGTTAGCTGCAGTGACTGCTGTAATTTACAGCTTTTGCTCCTAATTAAGGGTCAGACTTAAGCAGCAGAATATTCCCAATAGGGAAATTAAAAAGGAGAGTCTTTATACATCAGTGAAAAGCAGCTTGCTGAGAGCTGCCTTATTGAGAGGGATGGAAAGAAGGTTGGTTTACTTTGGGATCAAGCTCCAGCTTTTAAACCACTTTGCCTTTTCTCCTCATCACTTGCAGCACACAAGGCTAGTGCAGTAAAACAGAAAAAGAGGGAATTAAGCTCATTTTCTACCCGCCATGAATACTCAATGGCTTGCAGTGGTAAGCTAGTAAGGAGAAAGTCCTTAAGCAGCAGTTATCTAAGTGGTATTCCAGAATCAGACAGAACAGAAAAATGCATTGGGGACGGATGTACAGCTTCCAAAATAGAACAATTGTATTTCTGCAAACTTCCTCACCAAAAATGAAGTTACCGCACCAAAAATAGTATTTTCTTATCTAACCTAGGAGGCTGCTGCAAATTTTAACAAGTACCATAGGAAAAGCATTTCTAATAGACAGAAAATACAAACAAAAACAAAAACAAACAAAAAAACCAAAACAAAACATTGCTGCACTGGGCTAACACTCAGTAAAACTCCTACTTGCAGCAGCCCCTTCTCTCCAGGACCAGCCTTTCCAAGCCCGGAGCCGTGCTCTGGATTCCCGGGGCATCTCCAGGGCAAGGAGAGGTGCCCACGCTGCACAGACACACTGGCAGGAGCTGCCAAGCTGCACACATAACCACGGGGAGATGAAATGATGCCACCTCGTTTGTGGCTTACAAGAAAGGCCAGCTGGCTCAGCAGGTTTTGAGGTTTCTGCCGGCGCTCTGGTACCGTCCCGGCAGATCCCCCGCGCGGCTGCCGGCGTTCCCGGAAGCGTAGTACGAGGACGTATTTTCCTCCCCGAGCCCCGAGTTCCTCTAGGAACCCAGTTCTTCCTGTAATTTGCCTCAGTCATTTGTTTCCTCTTGTACTCAGAAAGAGCCAAAATGCTGTCCCAGATATTGCAACAGAGCTTGCTGCCTCCTCCTTGCTACAAGGTTGGACAGGAACTCTGGCTATTGCTCGTTAAAAGGCAGCTCTGAGAGATGTAATTAATTTGAAAAAAAAGAAAAAAATGGAACTGCCCATGCATCTTTAAATGCCATGACAAAGTAACACATAAGGGCTGAGGTGCAGGATTTCCCCACAGCCCCAAACACTCACAAACATTCACATTATCACTTTTAGAAATGAGCCTCCCAACCACTGCTCTGCACGGTCTTCAGGGTTTCCCCTGTACAAAGAGCTGATTAAGCACAGATGGAAACCACCAATCTCCTCAGCACATGCCTACAATTTTTACTTCTTACAGAAGAAAGCAATCGGCCCACTCATGTTATTTTGCAAAATTAAACACCCCAATGCTTCATGTTTATAGCAAGGAAGTTTTATGGCCAAATAAGTGAGGTGTTTCAAAACATTCAATCTGAAAGTACACAGGAAGGCATGGTATAAACCGAGATATTTCGTCAGAAACAGCCATGGTGTCCAAGAAGCTTAAACAGAATTTCTTAAAAATCCAGAGAGCCCTAAAAAACAATTTACAAAAAACCCCAAAACAACTGTTAAGAATCTGGGCATGAAAATAACCTTCTAATTCTGTAAAAATCAGAAAAAGACTTTTGACAGCACTCCTGAGAACAGTGAATTGCCAGCAAAGTTCCTAAACACTAAACAAAACACTTAAAAAGACAGTTCAAGTAGTAAAGGAGATGAGGTATCTTTTTAAAATACCCACCTAGACCTGGTACTATTAAGACTTAATTAGACCTGGCAAAAGCTTGCCACAAAACATGAACTAAAAGACTTTGCAGTAGACAGAGTGACTCCTTTAATGAGTAAAAACAATTATTTGATGTAATCTCTCAATTTAATATTATGTCATTAGTCAAGTACATCAAGTCTCCTGCATCCTAAGGCTCAAAATAAGTACCATTTAAAGAAGAACAGGACAAGAAAAGAGTCATTACAATAAAGCTGCCTGTCTGTAATCAAATCGGGAACGAACACTTCACTCTTTGGGGGTTTCTGGTTAAGAGAAATCCCTGCAAACAGCTCAGCCTTGTAGCACAGCAGATTCCACACTGCCCTCGCTACATTCCAGTGGGTTACTGGGCAAAAGGATATTCCCTCTTTTCGAAGATTTTCATGCTATTATTTAAAAACTTCCGAACCAAGATTTTTCTGCAGTCATACCTTGCCAACTTCAATGCCAACAGTAGTGCCAACCGTATTTCCCATGTGCTTTACAAGTGTTTGCAGCTAATACTGCCTCAGTTCACGTGGCTTCACTATAAAACACCTATTACAGCACATTTTAAAGAGAGATGCAATTCTTATACAGCCCACACAGGCAAAACACCCAGTTCAGTTCTTCCTCTTGGAGCTCTCAGGTTCCGTAATACAAAAACTGTTCTGTGGTGCTGAATTTTTGATTTAAAAAATGGAAGAACAGTACAGGGAAGACTAGGAATAAACCTCTCTCTATAGGCCCATTTCAAACTTAGACAAATGTCAAACCAGTCATTTGTGCTTTTTGTTGATAGCAAGATCCCAGCAAATCTGTTCATGTATACTTAGTTCCTGTATACTTGGAAAATTATCTTGACAATTACAGTGACTGAATTACAGATAAGGAAGTAAAAAAGTAACCTTTGTTACTGCTATCAAGCGATGATAAGAATTTGATACGATTCTTTGCTGGTTAATGTTTTTCCTCCACTTTGTCTACAGCCAAAAGCATTACTACCCAACTGACAATACAATCGTTTTAGCAGAGAAATGAAAACAGATTGGACAACAGAATTAATATTTCCAAAGCCTAAATCTGTCCTCACCAGCACTGTTCAAGTGCTTGTGCATCAAAAAAAGAAGTGTTTGCTTTTTAACACAGTTCTCAGATACCACAGTCTCAACTTTAGTCTAGAGTTACCTTGAAGTGTGATTTGAATCGCTGGTCTTTGTTGTAGTATTCCCAGACTGTATGCTGTTTGCTTCACTAGGAGGATCTTTCACAATATCCGACTTTGGTCTGTGAGAATTGGAGGGAAGAGGGAAATTACGATGTTGGTTTAACTGCACAATTAACCAATGCACAGTGCTACTGAAATCACATCACACTTAACACTGCATCCTTCAAACTTACTTAGTCTTCTTGTTAGTGTTCTTCTTCGTAACACTTGGACTAATTTCCTTCTCTTTGTCAGGTTTTTCTTTGTCTTGTTTTTCCACTTTCTCCTTCTTCTCCTTCTTAGGTGGTGGTGGTGTTGCATATTGCTGGGCAACTTGTTGTGCCACCAACTGAGAGTTTATTCTAGGTTTTCTATAACGACAATGAAAAGAGAGAGATCTATAGTCAGTTTTACACAGTAAAAATAACTACAGTGAGAGCAGTATGAAGATTTATTTCGGCAACCAGAGAAAGAACACTCCACTTAAAGAACCAAATGGATGTCCTTATTTGATGTGAAGCACTACTGCTGTAACCAAACAAGACAGAAACCTTAAAAGAAAGAAATACTCTAAACTGCTGTTTCATCAGGTTTTAGCATCTAAGATTATTAAGTATAATGCTCCCTTCCTTCATCTATGTCATGAAATCACAGCCAATTTTAGGGGGGGAACAATAGAGAAAAAGCAGCTTTCAAGAAGCTGCCAGCCATACACTGTGGCTGCACTTTAAGAAAAGGAACAGAATGTGACAAAAAAGTTTCCTGATAAACATCAGCCTCCTTCATATCCTTCAGTTCAATTTCTCAAATCAGCTTCTGGTTCAGCAGCAGCAAACGCTGCACAAATAACAAAGAACAAGAGAAGGTAACTGAGATGACTTTGTCCCAAGGGCCAGGCTGGCAGGAGCACAGGAGACAAGTGGGCATTCACACTTGTACTGGGAAGGGCCGTGCCAGCCTCGGACACACCGTCCTCATACCATTGTCCCCAGTCCCCAGTGTGCTCAGACAAAAAACAGACCCAAACTGCCTTTCAAACGCTGCTTCCACTGCAAATCATGGCTAATGCACAGAGGAGCTCTGCACGTAACCAATATTTTGGTTATTGATCCTCACATCCCACAGGAATTGGTACCTCTGTCTCTCCTGCATTCTTCACCTAAACTCTAATGTCTTCTCTTGACAACTCAAAAACTTTCTCCTCTGGCATATCACAGAGCAATTTATACTCTGAATATTTTGGTTATTCATGATTGATTCAATCTCTTCAACACTCCAGAAAGATCTATGCTTCCTGTGACCACACACTTGGGGGAGAGGAACTAAATCAGGTAATCAACTCCCTTAGTCATCTATAATAATCCAAATACTAATTGCAACAGTTGCCCAGGCTTGTCCAGGGTTGCTAAATTGTTCATAAATACAATTCAAGTTTTGCATATAGATCAGACTACAGCAAATTGTCAGTGAAAGCTGCACCCAAATACCATCAGCTCTACAGCTGGCACACAGAACCCCAGGGGTTTGTGCTGCAGAGCTCTGTACCTGCACCCAGCTTTTACTACAAACATCTAGAGAGGCTTCAAGTACCCACTTAGTGGTGTGATGTGCTGAAAAAAAGTATAGAACATTAATTGCTCAAATATAACATTTGCACTGAGAGTTGATAAACACAAGGGAACACCCAGAGAATTTCTACTCCCTGTCATGGGAAAATCCAAGTATCTGCTAAGTCTCTCTTAGTACTGGTTTCCTGTGTAATGGTACCAAGATGTTCCTACTAAAGCCAGATACACCCAAGTATTTCATTTCTCCACCACAGATTATAATAAAGTCTATGCACCAGGTTGTAATCAGGCCCCTGATCCATCTCACACCTCTGGTATCTGGATTTTTCACCCAACATGGAAACTGTAACTCAGTTGATGCTACGATCTGCATACACATCTGAGTGAACAATGATCTGGTCTTCAGCCTTAAATAACTGTGATGCTGAAACATTTTGTAGATCAGATCAAGCAGTTACCTGTTCCACAGAACAGTGAAGATATTTAGCATCCTTGAAATCCAGTACACAGCAATTTCTGTCTGTGTGACTGAGAATAAACATGTAAAACGTAGCGGTTTGGTTACATGGAAAAGATTTTCAGATTGATTCAACCACACTAAAAGCTGACAACAGTAACTTGTGTCAAGCAACCTGCTCACCGCCTACTGAAAAAAAGATAAAATGTCAAGAAATCTTCAAAGAGAGGGCAGAAGATACCATCTCCCTGCATGATTATACATGATTAACCTCACTGCTTGAAGCTGCCACTTCTGCCCAGACTTAGAGTCATTTGCTGTTTACACAACCAGCCAAGTCAGAAACCTGAGCCACTCACGGGAAATCCCAGTTCATGAATCTGAGAGTTTTTCCCACTTTGCACAACTCTGATGTGCTCCTTGTGATGTGATTTCCAAGCCTTGCACCCAACCTGTGCAGCTGCCCAGCTGCCCTTCCTGTTGCAGGAGTGCTGCACTCCTTGAACAGAGATACAAATTTTAAAATGCAAACTAAAATAAAAACCTAACCCACATAAATAAGTCCCACTGTATTTTCCTAGAGGCTGGAATGGCAAAAGGACCAGCCTTAAAGCACTCCTGTGGAGACACTGCCCCATGCTCTTCTGCTCCTTATCTGTGCCTGTGACAGCACACTGCATTTATTAACTTCAATCATTTTCTGGCCAGTCACTGACCTAACCAGCACAACTTCTCCAAAATCCATGTTTACATATTCCTCTTACCCACCAGGATGGTTTGCTAGTGAGGGCAAAGCCAAAACTGGAAGGGAAAACAGTGGAAGCAGCCAGGGACTTGTGAGAAGGAGAACCAGCCCTGCCACAAGGGAGGGAGCACAAAGCTGCTGAGCCTTGGGTCAACACTGAGCATCTTTCAAGATCTGCTGCACTACCAGGAAAGATTTTTTTAGAAATAATGCAAATAACCCAACAACTTTCTAGTTCCTAATCTGATTGCTTCACCCATGCCAGCAGCAAGCTTAGGAAAAGGGTCAAAACCAGGAATTTAAGTAACTGGCATAGTAATAGTAATAATAATAGGAGTAATAAAATCCTTCAAGTAAGGCCCACACTGCCACTACAGCCAGGACACACTGGTTAAAAGCCCTTTACTAAAAAGCCAAGCAAAGCAAGTTGAACAGCACATTTTTAACCACAGCAAACTATAACCATAGGAACCACAATTGAGTAAAGCAGCTGCAACTTCCAAAACTTATTCCAAGTTTCCCTGCCTACCAAAAATGATTTGGCCACCTCCAAAGTGAATGCATCAACACAAATACATGACTATTACATTAAAGTAGTTATCACTTAAGTAGAACAATCTGAACAGAAGGTTGCAACTACTTCTAAACTTTATATGTAAGAATAAACAACTACAGAAACAATATTAACCATTTTTCATCTCAAGATCTTCTCATTGGTTTACTTTCTGCAACATTGACGTGTTCAGATACACAGAGAATACATTTATGTGACAAAAATCAAACCCTAGTTCAGCCTCTTCAGCCTTTCTAACCAGCACTCATGCTTAAGGAACAACTATGTTGTAACCTACTAGAAGGTAAGTACCAACGCTACTCACAGCTAAAAGGCCTCAAGTTCCCAAAAATTGAAGAGATGCAATACTTAGTTTTAGACTTAGTTCTTGAATTTTCAATATAAGTATCTGAAATAGGTGTGTTTTCTCCTACCTGAATTTCTTTATGATAGTAAAATTATGCTTTGCTTAGGCAATTTTGCCCTAATTTAGGTGACAATCTGAGTAAAGACTAAATAAAGATCCAACACTGCTGTGACAAACAAATGCACACCATTTTTCTTTCTACAACATGGAGAGGACTGTCTTCTTCCTCTCTAAAACTAAGAGCAATTAAACAAAATTAAACTGTGCTTTCAAAGTTATGTACAGACAATTAAATTGTTTCACATTAATTGAACTGTAGTTTACATCCCAGGAGCAGACATTTTGCACAACAACTCATGACCTCTGCAACAAGGACACACTCCTGCATAGAAAAGCTGAAATATATTTGTCTGCTCTAAGAATGGCTGCGGCACCTGGGTCTCTTCACCATCAACTCCTGTAAATGATGCACAGAAATAATCCTTACTACCTTTTAGTAACGGACTTCACAGAAACACAGTGCCTGCAAATATATACTATATGCAAATATTATATATATATATATATATGTAAATATCATACCCTCAGATTGCCATGAAATGACACTGGGATGTTTCACTCATGGGAAGTGGAATAAATGCAAGACTTTTCTGAAGGGCTCACTGCATACATTGCTGGGCTATTTTAATAAATTAAAAAGCAAAGTGTAACTTTAAGGTTCTGGCTAGTAGTGTTTCACTACTTGCATTTCCTTCTGTATCTCAAAGCTTCCCTTTAAAGCATGCCTCAGAACCAAATCCAGAGCATGGACACCCAGGAATTCTGCTGCTCCACTTATAACCCCTCTGCAAGCAAGCTTAGGAGTGCAGCAGCACAAGTCACCACACATGCAACATGGGAGTTACTCAGACCTGGATTTCAAGAGGGATACAGGAGGATAAGTTGCACCTCATTTTTCATGTGACTTAAATTTCTCTATGTGTTTGGGATTTCTCTGGCCACTCTGCCTTGAGAAAAGGGAAGGTACCTGTCTCTTGCAGACACCAGGGAACGACTGAGCTTTATCCCTAAGGAAACACAGACCTGGAGGGACCCCGGCAATCCCCAGGAACGTGGCTCTAATTACAACTGCTCTGACTTCCCTAAAACTATGTTATCAGGAGAATGAAAGTGGCATCGAGTGGGATTTCAGAGTCAAAAGCCTCATGTAACATGAAGTAGAGAGGATTTGGATAATTTCATGCTGTTCTGGCTTTGATGCGTGCGGTGATACCAGCCGACCTCTCCGCGGCTCCGCGGTGCTTTGAGAAAATGTGTTTCATGCACTGTGCAGTGTGAAGTACATGATTATTTTAATAACCCCAGTCACACATGAATATATCTTTGCTCAAAGAAAAACAAGAAAACAAGACTAAAAGTATTTACAGTGTTTATAAAACAGTGCCAAAACACTTATACAACAAGCATCCTTCTGAGCATGAAGCAGGATTAGAAACTAACCCATGAGCACAAACAATTAACATCTCCTCAAAAGAATTTTACATCCAGAAGAACCAAAGATTTGGGGAAATTAAGTTATAAACATGATGGGATGAGCCCCCATTCCTACATGAATATTTTCCAGCTCATTTGTGATGACCACATGGTCCTTTTTAGCAACAAGAACAAGGATGAATGGACA